CGAATGATACATGTTCTGCGATGTTGTCAGTTGACATGTGCAAATGAGAGATAAGATAAAAATTAAGATTATTGTAATCGGTTTAATGGAGCTGTCCATGTAATGCTTAACTGTCAAACGCAGCCGGTGAAATCCCGCTAAGGGAATTAACTCTCGGCCCGGATATTACGCAATATTGTTTACGTGGTTACCAGAGTGCTCATTTGCGAATGTCTGCGCATTTGTTACGCATGTGTATCGGTAGAGGGAAGTTAGCAGCAGAGTGTCGATGTGTATCAGTTACATGCCAGGCCGTAGCGCTGATGGTTAGTGATAAACTGTTGGGGAGGGCCGTCCCTCTATTATAGGGTCTCTGGTTCCAGTGTTAAAAAGTCCATACAAACTAGTTCCAGAGGATGTGATGTTTGTATGTTCACTAATGGGGCTCTTCCTGGGATAGTCTTGCGCCTAGTGCATCGTTCACAATTCTGTACATGCATCTCTATATCCTTTGTCATCCCTGGCCAGTAGAATCTTGCTTTCACCAGTGACGATGTCCTATCTCGGCCAGGATGACCAACGTTGTCATGGAGACAATGCAGCACTCCTCTATGGCATCTTGTTGGTAGCACTAGCTGTTCTTGTACCTCACCGTTGTATTGGGTTACTCGATAGAGCACACCTCTCTTCAGTTTGAAGTAGTCCAAGCTCTTCAGCAGAGTAATCATCTCTTTGTTTCCAGTGTAGTCTGTGTAACATGGTCTTGTCCGATTCCTAAGATGTAGCATAATGATATCCAGAGATGGATCTCTTGCCTGAGCTCTCCGCCAGTCTGTAGCATTGATGGAACAGGTTTCATCAGTGATGTTTAGTTCTTCATCAGGCAAAACGTCCGCTGATAAACAAACACTTTCCAAAAGGTTGGTTGGTAAAACTTTGCCACAAACAGCCTGTACAGAGTCTTCAGAGATTAATTCCATGTGTTCTTTTGTTTCATTGAACTCCGGAAGCCTAGACAGTACATCAGCATCCATATTGGCTTTCCCTGCTCTGTACTTGATGTCGGTTGTATGATGCAAGGGCAGCTAGCCATCTATGTCCTGTGGCGTCGAGTTTGGCGCTTGTAAGGATGTAAGTGAGCGGATTGTTATCTGTCAGTACAGTGAATGTTTGTCCATAAAGGTAGTCATGGAATTTCTCACAAATGGCCCATTTCAAGCAAAGAAACTCAAGTTTATGAGCAGAATAGTGGCGCTCCGACTTGGTAAGTGTCCTGCTAGCATATGCAATTACTCGTGGGTGCCCATCCTGTTGCTGATATAAAACTGCTCCAAGACCATGGCAACTGGCATCTGTGTGTAGCTCAAAGGGGAGAGAATAATCCACATAACCAAGAACTGGAGGTGTTGATAGACATTTCTTGAGCTCCTGGAAAGCACTCTCTTGAGCTTGTCCCCACTGCCACTGAACTTGCTCTCTCTTAGGAAGGTGTGATTTCTTTCCAGGAATCCTAGGCATCAGTTCTGATAGAGGTCTGGCTATTTTAGAAAAATTCTTTACAAACTTTCTATAGTAGCCAGCGAATCCAAGGAATTTTCTGACATCCTCTGGTGTGCAAGGTTTAGGCCAATCCTAAATCTTATTGATCTTCTCTGGATCTGCCTCAACTCCATCTTCAGAAACTATATAGCCCACATATTTCACACGTCTCTTGAAGAATTGGCATTTCTTCGGGGCTAGCTTCAAACCACATTCCCTCAGTCTCTGTAGGAGACGTTCCAATCTCTCTAGATGTTCCTCAAATGTTCTTGAAAAGATAATCAAATCATCAAGATAGATTAGACATATATCCAGATGTAGTCCAACGAGGCACTGTTCCATTAGGCGTTGGTAAGTTGCCGGTGCATTGCACAAACCAAATGGCATCCGAGTATATTCAAAGAACCCAAGAGGACCAACTGTAAATGCTGTACGCTGCTTATGATCTTCTTCCAACTCAACCTGGTGATAACCACTTTTCATGTCCAGGACACTGAAATATTTCATCCCTCTGAGACAATCCAAGAGTTCTTCAATCCGGGGAAGAGCGTAGGAGTCCTTGATGGTCTTACGATTCAGCTGTCTGAAGTCGACACTCATCCTCAGCTGGCCTGATTTCTTCCTTGCCAATACGACGTTAGATGCCCATGGACTATGAGAATGTTGTATCACTCCAGCAGATAAGAGTTGTTGAAGGTGTGTCCTGACTTCATCATACATAGCAGGTGGAATACGTCTGTGTCGCTGTTTGAATGGGACATCGTCGACCAGATCTATCCGATGTTTGACTGCATCCGAATGGCCTATGTCGTCTTCACCCTTTGAAAATATGTCATGAAACTTCATGATGACTGATATCCCTCTCTCAAACTCTTCTGTTGTTAGGGTACTCCATTCAATCTCCACCTGGTCTGTCAATGCAGCTTCTTCAAATGTTCTGCTGGTGGGTGGATGTTGTAAGGTGACTGGCTGAAGTTCACAAAGAATTGCTTTGGGTTGTATGACAACAGTACGTGTAGTAACATTAGCAATATGCACGTCTATGAATCCAGGATGACTTTTGTCATAATCAATTACTGTAGGAGCTATGTCCAAATCGGTAGGAATTGATGAACTGTTTGTTGGCTGTAAAAGGGCACAAACTCGTGGACAGCTAACTCCTTTGGTAACCTGGCCTCTAAGTACTGTATGACTGTTAGCTGGTATGGTAACTCTGGAACCTTCCGCGTTGTATACAAGTCCAAGTCTCCAGTCATTCTTCTCCAAGTTCTTCTCACATAAGGCAATGGTCCTAAAGGCAAGATACCAAGGCGTTGTTAAGGTAGCATGCTGTAAGTATCTGGCACCATGTCTTTCCTTGCAATCCTTCAAGAAGTGGGTAAGTACATTGGTTCCTAATAGTACAGGCACATTCCTATTGTACAGTGTATATCGGCACCACCAGTAATAAACAAGGAACTGACTCGCTAGTACCTGAACCAGTGGCACTGATCTCGACTTCAACAAAACCATCATAAGGTAATGCTTCACCATCCGCGCATTCTATGTCCAATAAGTCTCCTAAGGGCTCAATAGGAATATCTGAGAGGTGAGATTTGTCAAAAGACCTTGATAGCAAAGATACTGATGCTCCTGTATCCACTAATGATCTGACCGGTATATCTCCCACGTATATGTCAACCTCATTTGTATTCCCAACTAATCCCTCAGGAACTCTATTCCTGGGCTGTCTTGAAGGACCTATGGCTTGCCCCTGCCCATAGGCCTGCATGAGTTTAAAGTCCTCCCGCTGCGACTGTGTTCGAGTCTCACTCGGCATCCATACTGGTAATGGCCTCTCTGTCCACATCGCCAACACTCTGGATCAGTTGCTTCTCTTCGAGGGTGATGTGATGAATAAGGGGAATCTTCAGTTCAGTTTTCCAGTCTGGAATTAGTATAGTTGGGGGTCTGTGGCTGTTGATTCCTCCATTGGTTATCTCCCCTTGGTCCTTGTCTGTGCTCCTGCGAGGTCCTCCTCCAACTCTGTCCTCTTTGGCTTTTCATTTCGGTCATATCCGTGGTAAGTTGTTGTAGGATAGTTTTTACCTCTGACATTTCCTTCTTCCATTCAGGTTCGGATTCCGATGAATACATAAACATATATGAGTTTATCTTTTCATAAATAAGGTTATATAAACATTATGTTACGTATGCTAAATAAGGTAATTTGTACATTTGTGAGAGGTTTAGTAAATGGCAAAATCTCCTGGATAGGCAGGTATTTGAATGAGTATTTTGATTTATAAGTTTATGAAGCTTTTATCATGTATGTGTTGTGTATGTATGTGTATATATAATAGTATTAGGATGTTTGGTATTTTACTGTGTACTATGCCAGATCTGTAAATATGGGCTTACAGTAATTCTGATTTGATGATTATATTTACGTGTGTAAGGATGTTGTGTAGGGAAGTTAGTTTTGAATTATTTCCACATTTGTAGGTATTTTCGGTGCCACTGTAGCCGTGACCATGTAGTTGTGGAAAACTGTAGTGTGACCTACACCTAGAGGCCATACTTCTGGTATGTTTGTATATTTTATAGAATATATGAAATATATGTGTGTATATTTCATATATTCTATATTTACTACTACCGGTACACATCTGGACATCTGTAATTCAGGTTGTTGTATCTTACTTGTCAGCATTGTGTAGTCAGATGCTTGAATGTGTTGCAAGGCCACTAATATAACACAATGCAGTAATTCTATATTTACCGTCTTTATTAATGATGCATATGATGTACGTATTACGGTGTTGTCCATACTTTTGTTTGCAAGCCAAATGAATTATGCTCGGATAATGTTTATTATCCTCATCATTGTTATTGTGTATTTCAGGGTGTAAAAACAATGAACTAAACCCAGTCATCGAATAAATCGAATCACACCCGTAGCCGTGTTGTCACCTTTATCAAGATGCACACTTAAAGCTGCTACATATCTTCCTCAATTTGACGACTTCGCAGTTCATTAATAAACAGACTATTATATTCGTGCCCATATCATACTATGTTTACGACACTCGTGTTTAAATATCGGTATATCCCTCGCTCTCGCTCGGGAAATACTAGCCGAGAGCCGCGATGCGGTTCTATACAGTCATTTCTGTAAAAGACCCATCGCAGCTCTCGGCTACAGCTAGTTCAGCTGGAGCTGATCAAGTGAATACTAATACATTGCATGACTGTGTCACAACTGGATGGATGTATTATTTTGAAGGTGTGCATTGATTGTCAACGTGTCCGAACAGTCGAGAAATCTTGACTGGAATGACTTCCTAGCTCGTGATCGCGCGAACAACAAGTTGTTGTATATGTAACCAATATACTAGCTGCTTCGTGTTTGCAACGATTTCCCATCGCAAACTCCTTGTCACAAGGAACGGGAGAATCCCTGAAACTCAAAGAATGTCGATTCTCTATTTGTCATGACTTACCGTTATTAATTTTACCGGCAACGGGACACGGTATTATCACAGGCACTTCGTCATTGGCTTGTCACGAATGTTTGTACTACTTTCCATACGACAGCTTTCAAACCTGTCAAAATGAACAGGACACAATGAATTCGTTTTCGAAACACAAAATTCACGCCGTAAAGACGTCTTAAATCTTGTCGACATAACAGAAATAACTCTACAAGAGAGATTTTGTTTGATGTCTGATGGGTAGCACATACCTCAGCGATATTCCATCTCTATACTCTAGCTATATCGTGGAAGCGATTTGTAAAATATTCGAGTCTGGACCAGACGATGATTGACACCACGAGCATCGATCTACGCTATTGGGATAAGATGACATGTGTCAACAAAGTCTGCGAGCCTGACCTCCTGATCCCGTTAGGTCGCCTGTTACGACAAGCATGGGTTGCTGCACAGGGGCGTGTCACGCTTAGAAACAGCGTTAGAAAGACCTATAGGTATATAGACCTATATATGTCTTTCTAACGCTGTTTCTAAGCGTGACACGCCCCTGTGGGTTGCTGAAGACCGATTCTAACTCTCATACAGACTCTCAAGCAAATATATCCAAGAATTCCCACGCAAACCTACAAAAGTGTGGCAAGTCTAGATTTCCAATGAGGAAAGTCTCGAGGCTCTTTTTCATTACATTACTTTTTCTACTACGATTTTTTTCTGTAAATTTCTGAGACTAGTTGTTAGTCTAAACTCGGATCTTCAAGGGTGGATATCAAGAAATCCTCGCGGGTGGAGAAATCCACCAAATAATGCCACAACACGAATTTCTGTCCAGCGTGTTTATCTTCAGGGAGGATCAATTTTTAAGTTGAAACGCGTAGGAGGGAAATTCGATCGTGTTGTGTCAAATATTTGGGGGATGTAGGAGATAAACATACTGTGTTGGAAAATCAGAGCTTAATATCGAAATTAAATTTGATTGATTTGATTGCTCTAAATTTGATTTAAAACCGAACTCGTAGCGCGAGGCTTTGATTAAAAGAATTTAGAGCCATTATAATTTCGTTACATGCCTCTGCTTTTCCAACACAGTATGTTTATCTCCATTCTACCATAACCGCATTATTAAGATTTTAAATAATACGTACATAATGTTTTGGAACCAATCACAATCCAGTATTTGCTGAAGTCACGGCCGGTAGAATTCTTTATAAATGTACTGCGTTTCACGGCTGAACTTAACAACTATATTTATACACATACGTTACGAACGCTTTGTGGGTCAGGGCCCACAAACAAGTTGCATCAGTTTAAACGATCACATCTACCCTGAAGTTGTGTCAATATTTATTCATAATAATAACCCACCAAATATTGCCACAACTTCAGGGAAGATTTCAGCGCGTAAAGTGATGCAACTTGTTAGTGGGCCCTGGGTCCCGATTGATGGTAGATTTACAAAAAGCTTTAGACCGCTACTTTTTCGATTTATTAAACGATAAATCCGGATACAATACTTTAATCTGTCACTGAGACAACGAATGAATTTGCGAATCCACACAAGTATCTCAATACGTGTAGCTAGTGGTCACTTTAGTAGCATCTTAGTGACGCAATGTTCCCATTCGTGACCAACTCGTGTTATTCCGGGACAAGCCGAATAGCGGTTACGGAAAGGGGCGAGTGGTGACGTTTGGCAATGTTCTAACACGTGGTTTGCCCAGATCAAACATGTTATGATACTAAATATAGAACTCGAGCACTCTGAGGCGGTCTTTACATGATGACGCCTATGCTTGGCCCCGCCCCTGGAAGAATTGATAGCGTCCATTTGGCTCAAAAGCAGCTAGGGCAATACTCAATGAAATGCTGATCATAATCAATACATCAGACCAACTCTGTGAGTCTTTTGCAGAATTATGTCCTAGAGATACGCAGACGAGTTCACAGTTACGAGGGTGCAAAGAGAGGATATAATTTGTGCAGGTTATAGCAGAGACCATATATAATAGATTATTGTCTCTGGTTATAACACGGGAAAAGCCACATTTAAGAAATATAGAGTTGAAAATGGCGTCAATGGGCATGGTTGAGTGATCATGTGAATGTGGCTCTCCCGGCAATGCGCTATTAGCTAATTTATGTTACCGTAAATAATGTGAAATATTCATCATGTAAAATCTAGAAATCCAGTTGAATTGTTCGAGGAGAAAAGTCCAGATCACGCAAACTGTCTGCCTCACGTAGGTACTCAAACACCTTTTACCAATTATTTATATGGAACCAATGATCTCTGTGAAGCATCTTAACTTATGGGAGGGTCAATTCAACGTTTTTATCCTTGTCTGATATGTCTCAGTTATTATGTTTACATTCATGCTAAAAAAAAGGGTTGAAACGTCAAAATAAATTTGATAGAATATTCTTGTCCAAACCTCTCTGTTGATGCGATACAGTCAGACCTCGTTAATATGAACACTTTGGTTTTTAAAAAAAACCGTTCGGATAGTGAAACGTTCGTACTGCTGAAACCACAGTATATGCACCGAGTTACTTCCCCTTGATATCTTTCCTTACTATCGATACGTGAAGAAATCAAAACAAAACATCAAAGACAATCACTGGATTTATTACACATTGTTTCACTCACACATTTCTCTTACAAAAGTAGTCTTTAATGGTGGGCTGCTGCAAAGGTTGTTTTTTTCACCAATCTGGGATTCTTGACTTGGCAGAATTTCGACATGCTTGAAACAGTTCTTGATTGTCTGACAGGAAACATCTGCCCATGCAGATTTCACGAATCGCAAGGCTTCTCTTAAGTTTATACACTGGGGTTTGTCGTCTTCAGCACATGCGATGAAATGTCTCACTCATTGTCTCATGTAATAAGCTTTGACTGTCCGAATCATAGTGGATCCAGGGTGGTGGGGTGGTGGTGTGTGGGTGTGTGTGTCATTGGCTTGAGTTGTTATATGATCGCCACCTTTCAGTGTTATTTATATTTGTAGTTATGGCCATTAAAAGTTGTGACCCTTAACTTGTTTTGAGTAGTATCTTACTTTCATCAGTTATGACTCATATCATCGGATCGAGAGGGGGGTGCATGGATGCGCACCCCCCCTTTTGTGCTGAAAGTTTGTTAAATGACAATTGAAACTCGGGTGAAAATGAAGTGTGCGCCCCTCCTTTTCTCAATAGTGTGCAACCCCCCTTTCTAAAAAAGCTGTATCCGCCCCTGAATATTATATAGAGAATCTCACCCAAGTGTCTACTGATATCAAATATATCAACACCAGTTGATAAAGTTACAAATATCCGAGGCTTGAGATTCTATTTATCATCAAAAGTCACTCTTCATTAGTTTTCAATAAAAATGTACACCTCTAAACACTGTACTACCATTAGACTTACAGTGCAGCGATGCCATAGCATTGTGACATCATCGTGTTCATGACGTCATAGCATTGTCAGGGCATTGTACAAAATCTACTGTCAAAATGATATCTCCTAAGAAATATCGTATGATCTCACACAAGCAATATCTCCAGTGGAACCAAGTTTTGGATTTGGAGATAAACGCGATCGGCTTCAAATGAAATTTAGGGACTATCAATTCGGTCTAACATTCATCTAATTTCCAAACCCAGTATGTTTATCTCCATTCTACCATAGACGATTTAAAATCGAACTTCTTCGTTCCGCGGAAGACACTGCATAATTCGGCATGGAACCAGAGGCAAATTGAACTCGTCTGTTAAGGGAGTTGTAGGTGCGGTCATATTGTTTTAAACATAGCATAATGTTTAATGAATGATAAACATAAGATGTACTCAAATAGCAGATGAGACACGGTAATAGGGCAAAAGGGACCATTCATACTTTATTGTACGGGGGGATGGGGGTGTGGGTGATGATGGTTTTAATGGAGAAGCATGTACAATGTGAATGTCCCCACCCACCACCCACACACCATCATCACCAACCCCCCCCAAAAGATGTGTACAAAGTGACCCCCCACATTCAATGACAACCCCACCCCACCCCCACCAAAGCAATAAATTAGGAACATGTGACAAAAAAAATTGTAAAGAAAATGTGATTGAAGTTACTTAAGTTTTCATTTTTTCAAATTTATATACTGGAGGCCACATGAATAGCTTGACACTGGGAATGCCAGACAGTATACTTCTCTCATTATCAAGTGAGCATGGTCTATTGTTTTGGGTTTATGGAAACGTTAACGCAAAAGAATTGCTTTATTAGGCAGTCAAATGCAACGTAGTAGTGTAAAATGCATTTATTATGTGTTCGCTGTAAAAAACTGTTTAGGACTGCAGGTTCAATTGGGTTGGGTTGTCGATAGTGGTTGGATAACATGGTACACCAGTGAGTGAAAGAGAACGCCGCTTCGAACAGTACACTGACAAAGTTGCCATCCATGGTCCCCTACTATATGCCCCCTTCATGCAAATCACTGATTACAGCAGTTATTCCGAGCTTACACATATAATACCATTTAACCTTAGCTAAAAGGAGTGAGTTGTTTTAAGCCACTCTTAACACTAATCTAGCAATATCACAGCATGTGAACCAGAAAATTGCATCACACATTATATCCATGTGGTGAACTGAACCCGGCATGACGAGCAAACGTTTTAACCACTAAAAAAATAGGCTTCCCCACCGCCTCCTATCGCAGCAGAGGACACTAGAAATAGGCTTCACACATTGTACCTATGTGGGAATGGAAGCAGGGGAATGGACAAGCAGATGCTTTAACCAGTAGGCTACCCCATCCACCCCAATATGTGGTATGAGGGGACAGCCTTAGGAGAGTGATGGTGTAACAACTCCCTCAACAACATCAGTAGCAGGTGTGACTATCATTTGCGTTGATAATGTCGGAAAAGCAATTTTACAGTGAGACATGTTGCTTGAAAACATCCTGTGGTTAGCATTACCGGTGGGTTCTGGTCCTGCCATAGTCATCCGTCCATCTAATCCCGTGTTCTATAGGGAAAGATCTGGAGGAACGCCTTATCCTACCCTCAGCCGCCCAAACTAAATTTCATTCTGGGGTGATTCTGTCCATGGATTTCACACCTTGTAGGTGGGGAATCGAACCCGGGTCTTTAGGGTGACAAGGAAATGCCGCTTTTAGCAATATTCCAGCAACTGACATCACTGTTTGAGGGACACTCAACAGAAATGGACTGACTGACACATTGTACCCATGTGCAATATTCCAGCAACATCACGGCTGGGGACACCAGAAATGGGCTTCACACATTGTACCCATGTGGGGATTCGAACCCGGGTCTTCGGTGACCAACGCTTTAACCACAAGGCTACCCCACCGCCCCACACTACCAAAGAAGATAAAGGAGCAAACAAACCAAGTACCATGTTTGATCTCAGTGAGTAGTGGCACCCATACCACTGGACCACCCTGACCCTTCAGGGCAAGAAACAGGATGATCCCAAATCAATGAATAACACATTTAATTTATGTCCAATTTTATTTCCAGTTACAGAAAATGAGAAACAAATTATCTAAAAATTTACAAATAACATGACAATAACAATCAGTTTGTTCGAAAAAAAACGTAAATAGCTGGTGGATAGCAGCACCTGAGAAATGGACGTATTTTAGAATTCCTGCAGTGTGTGCTGGGTGTTTTCTAACAGAGTGGACGCTGCTTCAAGTCACAATTCTAATTTTCTGTCTCAGGAATCTAACAATTCCAGTTTTTGTCCCTACAGACTTTTCTCCAGTCATGATACAAAATACACGAAAAAAGAATATTAACATTCTTTACCATCTCCCAACCCCACAGAATATCAAGTGAATTATAAAAATATGAAAATATTCTGCCTTGTTAATACAAATCAAATATATACAAATATTCTCAGAGACAGAATATATACTCATAGAAACAATAAGGGAACACTTGAAATCACAAGTGTTCCTCTATTTATTCCCAGAATTTCACCCACAGTGCAATACATACCTTGTGAAGAAACCTGGAAAAGAATTTAAGGAACACTGTTACTTTCATGTGTTCCCTTATTTGTTTCCATGAGTATATGTGAAAAGTTTTTTAAAGACCATGACCTAAAAATAACTGGTCCCCCCTGAGAAGTGTTGTTGACAAGAATCCTTATGAATATATAATACAAAATCTATTTATAAAAAAATATTTACTCCTTTTTTTTCAATTATGTCGTCTTCTTTAAGAAAATACATGCATCACAAGTCAAGTGGAATGAACCTGGTCTTAACAGAAACATAAATCATTTAGTCAATGTAACAAGACATCCATGGATGTATGACAATTGCACTATCACTTAAAAAGGTGTAATAACTAGTAATACCAATAATTAAAAAACAACATGAGTAAAAGTATATAACTGTTTTAAACAGTGGTTTATTTAACTCAAACAGGAGTTAACGACTTACGATGTCATGACTTGCTCAATAGAAAATACTGACTTGAATATTATGCATAGGCCTGTTTGGTTTTGAGTTCTAGGCACCCCAAATCTGCATCCAGAAGGTTGAAATAAGAAGAACTGATTCAGATCATGAATCAATATCATTTACAAGTTTGCTTTCAAGTTTAAGAACATTGAAATTAAAAATGATTAAAAAACATAAAATACTGTCAAAAATATACAACCTGTTTTTTACATACTACACAAATTCTAACAGGAATATTATTACACTTTCACAGGACTAACATTATATAATTTTATATTGTACTCATTTTTTACAGGTACGTTATCAAATACCAGGCCAGAATTTGTTGTCACATGAATAGTATCTGACACTGCTATGGAGCAAACACATGATAGAAATAAGTCCATAATACATCCATAAGTAGTTGTCCTTCAAGTATCATACCAGTATATAATAGCTCAGTATTTCTGTCAGTGGTACTTACTGGGGCTACTACGATTCACTCATGTATTTGGTGAATCGAACCATATCCCTTCAGGAATTTAATGAATTTTTCGCCTTCACAAGAATCGAAATATTCATGAATATATTTAAAGGAGTGTTTTTACTTGAATTTTGGTCTAATTTTTCAAAACGAGATATGCAAAATGGAATATACCAAAACAAGAAAGGATAATTGTCAACCCTATCTTTAATTTGACTGACTGACTGACTGAGTTTGGTTTTACACCGCTTTTAGCAATATTCCAGCAACATCACGCCGGGGGACACCAGAAATGGGCTTCACACATTGTACCCATGTGGGGAATCGAACCCGGGTCTTCGGTGTGACGAGCCAACGCTTTAACCACTAGGCTACCCCACCACCCCTTTTTATGTGACAGCAATATCATCACTGGCTATTGTCATAATCGATTACTACTATCCACAAAGTGAAAACATGTCAAAGATTTTACTTTGCTGTTGTTTTACTGAATATATTGAAACATACATCAATCGTTGACTTGTTATTGCATTCGCTATTGCATTTGTTGCATTTGTTACTGGGGATGGGCGATAATACCAGTTAACCGGTATATTACAATTCGAACTTCACAATACCATATATTGCGGTACACTTTTCACAAACTAGGTCACCGATATGATCAGTAATTTTCATGATGTAGTCAAAACTACTAAGGATACTTGTATTTCCTTTGTATTATTATACATCAATAGTTTTGAGAATGTTTATTTGTCATATAATTGCATTTACGTGACTTTTAAACCATATAATTTAATAGATTGGTACCAGCACTCGTAAGGATAAACAAACCAAAATAGCGAACACAAAATAGTTCCAAACTTTAGAGCGAAGTCTTCAATTTGGAAACATTTTCACTTAATCTCTTGTACAATTACATCTGAGTCATGACAGAGGCCAGTGGCATTGTTTCAAAAGAAAGGAAACCGTAATTTATTACCTTAACCCATGTGTTACACTTTCACAATATATTGCAATACATATTGCAATACACTAACACATCACAATATATCGCAATACGAAAATTTTGGCAATACCCAACCCTATTTGTCACCAAATATTCTTGCCTCAAAATAGTTATGCATACAGAAAAACAAATACCATAAGAAACAACATCAACATCAACAACAACAACAACAACAATAACCTTGAGGATGTTTATCATGTGTATGATTCCTGACTTAAGTGTAGGCTCAAGGCACAACACCATCAATTACCTGGTCATTTGAGCTGAGTGACCCGGAGATTCAATCTCAACTCCCTGGGGAGAACAACACAGGCTGCCTAGGTTACACATCTACATAAAACTACATAACAGATCTGATGTTGTTGATAAAAGTTCTCATGATGGATTGTGTTTTATGGAATGTCCAACGAACAAGTAACAAAGTTCTTAAGAATACACTATTCCCATGCCAATAACCCGTGAAGATCCGGGTTAGAATTGATCTTCAGTAACCCATGCTTGTCGTAAGAGGCGACTAACGGTATCGGGTGGTCAGGCTCGCTGACTTGGTTGACACATGTCATCGTATCCCAATTGCGTAGGTTGATGCTCATGATGTTGATCACTGGATTGTATGGTCTAGATTTGATTATTTACAGACCGCCGCCATTGCTGACTATTGCTGAGTGCAGGGTCAAACAACAAACAAACAAACAAATCCTATGGGTGAGTGAGTGAGTTTAGTTTTACGCCGCTTTTAGCAATATTCCAGCAATATCACTGCGGGGGACACCAGGAATGGGCTTAACACATTGCACCCATGTGGGGAATCGAACGTGACGAGCCAACGCTTTAACCACTAGGCTACCCCACCGCCCCAAATCCTATGGAAATAAATATGGGAAGACAATGAGTCCAAATGAAACTTTCTCACTATCAATGTATGTAAGCTCCATTTTGGAAAATATATATACTTGCATGACGTCAACATATCACTGTTTAAATTTAACTTACATGTGGATCTATTGAACTTATTACTGGAAGTCAAGTCTGTAAGTGCTAGGGTGCTTCTTACAGCATATACAGTGCTTGTGCCAACAAACAGAAATCAAAATCTGCTACTTCTGTTTCATCGCATACTATAAGACCTTGACCTTGTGACAATCTCACAAAACATGCAGGTGTGTCTGTACCAAGACCAATATTGTTACTTGAATTTTGATGTTATTTATCAAAGCGAGATATACTGAAATGTAAATAATGTAACTATAATGAGTCCAAGAAAGGCAAGATAAAGGGAATCACAAACCAGAAATGAAATTAATTTGATAGTGTGGTCATTTTTATAACTTAACACTATCAACATGGTCCAAAAGATGTCAAGAAATAATTTTAGTGGTTTCACTGAATATTATAAATCAACAATGTCAAAAGGTCAGCTGCTGATTTTTTACTGTATTCAGGGTTTTACTTGACGAGTGATTCCTGCATATTTGACGCAACAATTTTCTAAAAGACTCTCAAAATATTATCATAGGAGTCAAGCTCTATCACAACCATTAAGTTTATTTTCATGACTTAAGAGTGTAGAAAATAGGCTCTGCATGTACAATCGATAATAATATAATATAAATTGTTTGTAAATTGTTTAAAAAAATATTATCTGAACTTATATATTATGTATTAAATATAAACTGCATTAATTTTTTTATAAAATGTATAAAAATAGTAATTTTAGTAAAGTAAATTTCATTGAAGTATTTGTTTTCCCATATTCACATAGCAAACAAATAATCTGAGATGCCCCATATTATCAACGTTTTTAACAAATTCATAAACCCAGAAACTAAGTCTGTCAAAAACATAAAAAAGTGTCATGGCGCATAACACTTTTACTGAAGGGAGCAGCTGACATTTCATAACAGCTTTCCAGTTGATGGCGCAGACTGCTTTTTGATTCAACCCATCCTGACCCTATGATGAAGATATTATTCATTATGGCGGGCTGAAATGATTGGTTCCGGTAATCGAAATTATCATCAATGGGAAAAATGATTATTTTAGTAATTAGTAATATAAGCCTAAATATGTCCCCAGTCACAGTTATGTGAAATTCGATGATTACTTTCAGACGGTTTTGGCATTTTTGCTCAAAGTTCAAGACAATGGGTCGATGTTCCGTTAAGGATTGTCGATCTCTATGATCAATATCAATAACCAGCCCTACTATTCATTTTCAAGGTCAAAAGTTCATGACCTTGACTTAAACACTACATCCCCTGATAGATTTCGTCCCATGGAAAACCTGAAGATGTTATTGTTTTGGAAGATCCTGCCTTTCAACAGTTCCCTTCGACTTCTCAAAAACGACAATTCACAAAGTTGCAACAAACTGAGGAATTCCTTTTGAAATTTTCTAAGGAGGAAACAACTTCTGTCTGACTGGAATTGGACATTATTTTTGTAAACTACTTGCCTAACAAAAACTTAAGAAGTCTAGAGACAATGAGTATGCCTAACCATTAAAGATAGACCAGGAGTGTGGAAACATCAATACTACAAGTGTAAATCGGATCACTTACCCAAAAACCTATTTTATAAAAACTATCAGTCTTTCATTAATTGTTGTTTTAATACTGACTGATACTAGTATATCCATGGCTTTTTCAACCACGAATAATTGATTCTCCCATCAAGGCTCAGGATATGTCTACATGACAGTCTAAGTAAACTTAGACTCAGTATAATTCGTGACACTGCTATACTGAGTCTAGCAAAGCCTTGTGGAAGGTCGCGGCAGGTAACCTTTGAGCGACCTATGACCATCCAATCAAACGTGACACGACCGAACGGATTTAACCAATCAGACAACGGCTACTATTTAGGGTTTGGCGGGACTTACAAAATGGATTTTCTCTTCCCCTGTCGCCAACACTGATCTCACAACAAATGAAAACCCGCGTAAAACACAGATATTATATATGACCTGCAGAATATACGCTTTTGGGTTTCTGTTGACATGGTTATCATTAGCTAATATTTCCGCAAGCTGACATCCTTGAATACTGACAAAACGCTATTTTCAGCGATTGTTTACTCACTGTTGTGGCGTGCTCCATGTGCATCACTCGGAAGCGATCGTATGGAAAATAGCATTCGGAATCGTTCGGGTACAACTCTTTTTCAAGGTAAAAGTTCAAAAGGTATGTGCGAATGTCAAAATTCGCGATTTGGTGAGCTGTGTTCTGATTGGTCCATTGAAAAGGTTAGCTGACGCGACCTTCTACTAGGTTTTGTTAGACTCAGTATAGCAGTGTAATGAATAATACTGAGCCTAAGTTTACTTAGACTGTTTTCAAAGCTATACAGTCAAACACAAATGTGTCGAAGTTGAAGAAACCAATGTATGAACACAGTCTGATACAACTGCAAAATGATTATAAGAAAGGTAAGATACTTTATGGATGATAACTGCTTTATTATATTATCATGTGACGTTTCGTTCTAAAACAGTTGTCTAGCATGAGTCAGTGGAAAGCGATTACTTAAGAAATACAAAAGAAAGAAATTCGAAAGGACCAAGTTTTCACATTGAGACAACTGTAAGTTCGACACATCAAAGTTCGACACATCAGTGATTGACTGTATCTAGAATTGTTATTTTCCACACCCCTGGGGACTACGCTTTCAGTCTTATTAGGCATTACTAATCGCTAAACAGCATCATCCATGCTCTTCATCATCTCTGCCTTCATCATCAGAGTTGTTGGCGGTGGTTCCATCACCGCTGGAGGCGTGGTTCCTGTCTGAGCTGTTCTTCGGGGCTGCATTGTTCGTGTCACCGGGGCGAAATGGCAAGGCTGAAATTACAGAAATATATTGCAGATTGTGATGGACAGCGGTATAGAGTGATGGTCAGCGGTATAGAGTGATGGTCAGCGGTATAGAGTGATGGACAGCGGTATAGAGTGATGGACAGCGGTATAGAGTGATGGTCAGCGGTATAGAGTGATGGTCTGATTTGAAGGAGACTGATAAATCCATGCAGTTGTGCTCAGCAATATTCCAGCTATATGGCGTCAGTCTGTAAATAATTTAGTCTCGACCAGACAATCCAGTGACTGACATCATTAGGTGAGGTGAAATTGGGTTTAACGTCGTGCTTGAGAATATTTCGCTCATATGATGACGTGCATGCGTGTGTATGTGTATGTGCGGCTGCTTGTACTAGCCCAGACTTAAGCTGGTTTTATAGTGCTAGCCCACTGAGATACCATGCCGC